TTAAGCCAATAACGGACGTTTGGGATGAGCTTATAACTGAATGGCAGGGTAGATGGGCATCTTCTATTAAGGGCCGCCACCTGTATCAGTTCTTTCCATCCGTGCATGAGCGGCTGGAGAGGACATGGTTGGAGGTGGATCACTGTGTTGCCCAATTTCTTACTGGCCACGGCAACTTTAAAGGCAAATTGTTCTCATTTAAACTTATTGATTCACCATGGTGCCAATGTTCGACAGAGGAGTTGCGATACGAGCAGTCGGCCCATCACATACTCTGGGAGTGTGATCTCTGGCAATATGAACGTAACACTATGTTAAATAATTTAATTGTGTTAAATAATTTTTGTCAGGTGTAGTTTATTATACGGACCTTGTGGAATCTAGAACGAATTTCCGTGCGTTTTGGCGTTTTTGCCATACCTATTATTGGAAGCAAGTATAACAGCTCACACATAGGACCCACTTAGGTTTTTTAGTCAAATTTCCGTGGTGCTTGGCGACTGGGCTTCACCCAGTTGTACAGTCTCTTCTTTGTGCCTTTAGGCTTAATTCATTCTGTCTCCTGCAGTAATTCACCGAGGGAAGTGAAAACCATAGTTTTTCTTCTTCTCCTCTTATAATATCTTCTGATTCACTTCGTTGCGGGAACCAAGACAGTTACTCATGTCCCTGGGATGCGCCGGACTTCAGTGTTCCGGTGTTTTCATGGTTGTATCTACTGTAGATCCTGGCTTACAGGAGTTGCAGCGGTTTTGGGAGGTTGTGGCGGGCTTGTCCCATAAAAAAAAGACGAAGACGCGGACAACAGCTAGTTTTTTGTACAAAAATAAGCTTTATTATTATCTGTATTTAAATCTATTCATCAGTCAGTCGAGTAAAACTGACTTACTGTCGGTATTAATTTTGTTATTGGAAAATAAATTACTAAGTTCGCTCGCTATTGGTTGGTTTGAAAAGAAAGATGGCGGCTGATTGAGTGGCTTAGCCCAGTTCTCGTATAATTCTTAGTTTAAAATTATTTAATATTTTTATTTCAGTTAAGTCTGTTAAGTTAGGTTATTACTTTTCTTTGCTTTTATTTTCTAGAGGTAAGTTAAAAACTTAAGTTATAAAATAAAAATTTTGGCTTATGTTTGTTGAGATCAGATTTTTATATTTTCCATCAATTATTGGCCGAGTGGTTGCAAGCGCAACTGTCGGGCAAGGGGTGTCTCGGGTTCGATACCCGAGTCAGGCAAAGTAATACTTATTAAAAAGAAATCAGTTGTGGCACGGAGATTAATATTGTGCCCGGTATATGGCAATAGGAATAGGCTCAACCCCCTATTAAATGGGACTCATAACATACATAATGAATGTTTGATGTTACATTGTACAGTGGCATTGTGTGCCGTAATGCACTGCAAATGCTTACCCCTGCGGGGATAAAAGGCGTGATATTATTTTACTTTTCATCAATTATATTATAAATCTTATAAATATATGTAGCTATTTCGATTCACCAGGCACAAATACATTTGTGCTATTGATAAGAATTTTAAAAAAAAATTGCTATGACCTAAAATAATGAAGCAAATCGGAGGAGGTCGATGTGACAGCCAATACATAATGATGTCATATTGGTTTATGATAAACGATATATTCAACCTTTTCTTACCCTATTTATAGAACGATGACGTCACAATTCACACTCTAATATAATATATCACAACTTATAACTTATCAGCTGCCCATAGCTTTACTATAGGAGTTTTCTCCCATAAAATTGGTAATATTTGATTTAGTGAAGTGGAAATATGGGGAGCCATTGTAGAACGGAATTTATGACTTAACTTTATTACTATTTGATGCCAATTTTGTGCAATGGAAACCCTACTGAAGAAGAACAACACCAGGCTTAAACCAGCTTTAGAAAGGAATTAGGCTGACCAATTAAATGTACTTTGTTAACCTGCAAGACCAATTTTTACTAATAACAATATGGATTCAAAAACTTTATCTTTGACTTTGACGAGATAACTGTTAAAAATGACTTTAATAATATTTACATACATAGTTTTATTTATTTATTTTTTATTATAAATTTAACCCGGTAAATGAGCAGACGGATCATCTGCTGGTAAGCAAACGCCACCGTCCATGGACACCCGAAACACCAAGGTGTTACAAGTGCGTTACAGGCCTTTTGGGGATTATGAATTCGTGGATTGTTGGGGAATTCGTGGTTTGGTGGGGGGGGGTTACTGGGCCTCCGGCTACGAAACACAGCGCAAGTGTTGTTATAGTAGTTATACGTCGGTTTTCTGTGAAGCCGTGGTATCACTCCGGTTGAGCCGGCCCATTCGTGTCGAAGCATGAGTACCCGACACTCAACCTTTTTTACATTTAAGGCCTAAGGTTACTTAGTCCTACAACCTTTATTATGTAAAAAATGTTCTCGGTACAAACACAATTCAACACGATAATCTACTCATAACTTACCTTTTACCTACTTAAAACAAACTCTTAGTATAATCCTATTACACAGAGAACAGGCTAAGCAGATTAAGGTATTACAATTTTGTGTTTAAAACCACAGCGCATGAGTTTCGTGGTTGCAACCTTTATTCTTGATGTTTACCAATTTCTGCCTTTATTTAAATTGTTATAGAATCTATATTTAAGCAACAGAAGTTGGGTTAGTTAGTCTATTTATTATTTAGGTCAATTATTCTTAGTTTTATACCTTCAGAATTTGTTGTCACTACAAAGTTAAATCCGAAAAAGTTTTGCAACTAATTTATTATCACTACTGTAATATTTTTGTTAAGGTACTTGAAATTTAATCACTGTCATGGAATAAAATTTTGTTTAATTAAATAGTATTTATTAAATAAACGCAGTGAGCCAAGAGCTCACAGAAAACCGACGTGAAGCAACGCTTTCGTTGTGTTTCGGCGTGTGATCCCTGAATCTCCAACAATCCTCTAATCCTAATCCCAAAAGGCCGGCAACGCACTCGAAACGCCCCTGGTGTTGCAGGTGTCCATGGGCAACGCCGATTGCTTATCATCAGGTGATCAGTCTGCTCATTTACCGGCCTATTCCATAAATAAACACATTTAAACATCGCAGGGAGCTGCTGTATATAGATCACTTCTGACCGTCTAATTTGAAACTTATTGATGTAGACCTACGTTCAGCAAGACGTTCAACTTCTTATGAGTATTACTGATGTGTTATATGATATTCATGTTAGGTACTCCAATTATAATATACTAGCTACTTCCGCGCGGTTTCAGACGCTCTGCTTAGCTCCTATTGGTCGTAACGTGATGTTTTATAGCTTATAGCCATCCTCGATAAATGCGCTATCTAACACAAAAAGAATTATTCAAATCAGACTTGTAGTTACGGAGATTAGCGCGTTCAAACAAAAAAACAAACTCTTCCGCTTTATATAATAGTATAAGAAGTATAAAATGTTACGAAAATCGAAATACCTAAACGTTAAATTAAATAATCCGGTCTATAAATCAGAAGGGTCTATGATTAACTTGATATGGAAATTACTTTGACGATGAAAGGGCATTTAAACCCTTTTAATCAGGTTCTCGTAACATGCCTTGTCAATCCTGAAAATATACAACGGGCTTACATTATTTAACATACCATCACGCTGTTCATACTCCTTGGAGTAGATTCAAATGCATTTTTTAAGACAATCGTTGCCTTACACTGGGATTTTTCGCCTGTATCGTCGTTGCGTTTACAAACAATTTTACATGCACACGACACCCAAACCCGAAACAGTAATTTATGGATCACACAAAGAGTAGTTCCGTGCAGTGTTACCTTAATTTTTCAGTCATAATACGTTCATAACATGATAATTGACACATTTCCAGATTCGGAACTATTACAAGAAATGTAAAATTCCAAAAATAAAACAAACACAAAAAATACTTACATTATAAAAGCAGTGGTTATGCTCGTCTATTTACGTAAAGCCTCGTTTACCACAAATTAAAATGGCGTCGCAACCCACTTTATACCAGGTACAGAGCCGAACTGGACTTGATATCAGGGTAGCATTTGTCAACCGGGACCCTGCATGCTCTTGAAACCAATCTTAATGTCAATGCAATTTCAATCCAATAAAATGTCAAAACTATACAACTCCTATCGTAGCTGCCAGCTGCTAAAGTAGCATTTAGAGTATGGAATATAAAACCAAACTCAATACCATTATTATAGTTCACGAAATATCCACGCAATACGGATGCAAAAGGCGGTAGTGTTACAACTCAAGAGTATGAAACACAATGTCAATGTCGATCGATCGGAATTGGATTCAAGAGTAAGCACCCTGGTCTGATTATGTTACGTTTTGCTGCAATACTATACGAACACGTATAAACACTTTGTAAAATTTAAAAAAAACAAATTAACCAATCCACAAAATTAATGTGATGGGTGTGATGCGAATGCCTTGCATTTGTATACCCACCCACAGCACAGAAAAGAAAGTACTACTAGTATTAGGAAACTCAAAAAAGGACACTAAGTTTGTAAGTGAAAAAAGACAACCAAAGCGTCCTCAGCTAATGCTACCCGTGCGCATTTATCTCAATGCGGCCCTGGAAGAATAAAGCTGTTTGTTATTTGTTGTCATTTTAAATTGTCGGATAAAATGAAGTATCAACGCTTACGTCAGCATTTCTATCTGGACTTTGACAACGGACAATGACGTCATTAAGATGACGAAACACGTACAGATTTTTTTTAATTTGCTTTAATTACTTTTATACTTAAACATCTCTGTTTTATAGCATTTTTATTTTGTTGTTCGTAGTGCCTATGTTTCTTTTTTATTCTGCTTAGTTACGGCTCAACGTGAATGATGAACAACGAAGTCTTCGGTTCAAACTCGGAATCAAACATTCTCATAGTTTAGATTTTCGTTAATCTCTAGTTTTCCTGTGTGACAATGTTCTAATAAGATAATTTCGTTGTTACAGGCAGAATGGGAGTGATGGCGCGGTATCGTCGTACAAATATCCACTGACAAGAATGGGACACTTCCATCGACCACCTTCCTTGCACATCACTTTCTCCCAGGTTAGTATTATTTTATATACTTATGCTCCTTAAATTTAAAGAAACTCATAAGCTATAAAAGGTATTTAACAAGATCCTGGCTTTCGCCAACCTATAAGTGACGCATAGAGATAAAGGTAAGGGTTTAGTTTGGATGCTTCCTTGCGCTAAGTAAATCTTAGTTGAGAAACGATTTAGGGATGGTTAGTAAAAACGGCCAAAAGACAAGCTGAGAACGAGAACGCTTTACTTGACCAATGCAGTCAATTACAGACGAAGTAATTTGCCGTAAATTCTCTCTCGCTCCACTGATTACTGCTCAAACCTTCTTCATGTCAGAAGAAACCTTTGGTCAGCAGTGGCCACTTATCGGCCGTTGATAATGATGATACTCCACTGGCAATACTTTCTGAGTGTGATGAGGAGGAAAAGCGACAGTGACTCCGCTTGACGTATGAATCTATTAAAAATCCAGAGCCGGAGTCAGGCCGTAAGCGAACAACGATAAATTCACACAATAACTTTAATGTGAATCTAAAAAGAACCAAATAAATCATACTTATTTCATACTACCTAATCGGTTTATCCTCCGTACACATGTGAAATAAATAGAAAAAAAAAAGTATTTTTCAAATTTATTTTCGACCACCTCTCCTCTCTCCAATTTTTGTTTCGTTGTTCGAATGAAATCTGATCCACGGACCATTGGGAAATGCAAAAAAGGTAAAATGTTTTCGGCCGTGCACTGAGCATGTCCTTTTAATTATTTTTTGTGTGTTTTGCTTTTATTAACAGATTAGTCGATGGGTTGACTGTTTTGTTGGCTTTGTAAACAAATCACTGTTCAATACTCGCTCATACGATCTCTTGCATTTGCTACCCGGATCACATGGATGGCATTAGTTACTATTGCGACTACCAAAATAAATCGCAATAAAACAAACATTCTAACAAACTACACCAAACATCCTGTATACCTTGAAAATGACGCTTTGGAGTATGTAGACACATTTATCTATTTAGGCAAACAAATTTTGGTTTAAAGTACAAAAAAATTAACACGAAAAGTAAGATTTTTTATAGCATAAGCCGGTAAATGAGCATACGGATCACCTGATGGTAAGCAATCGGCGCCGCCCATGGACACTCGAAACACCAGAGGCGTTACAAATGAGTTACCGGCCTTTTGGGAATTGGCAATTTGAGAATTCCGGAGGATTCGGGGATTCGGGAGACGGGGACTTGGGACGGGGACTAGGGTAATTGGCCTCCGGTAACCTCACCCACACGACGAAACACAGCGCAAGCGTTGTTTCACGATTTTCTGTGACGCCGTCGTATCACTCCGGTCGAGTCGGCCTATTCGTGCCGAAGCATGGCTCTTTCACACTTAGCTTATTGACTCCTGCATATTACCAAACAATATCGATTCATATTTGTAAAGTTAACAAAAATGAACATAAAATATTCCCATTTTTATAAGAATCATTATTGGGGACAAACATACTTTATGGTGACCGGGCGCTAGCAACAGTAAAAATGTAAAAAACAAAGAAAAATAAATGACATTTGACTTGCAAAGGAAATGTCTTATAAAAACTTCGCGACATAAAATAACATTATGTTAACATTAAATTTATTTAACAATGTCGATAGATGGTAGGGTGAGACTTTGAATTAAATGTATGTGTTATTTATCTTGGAATACCTCATATTCCTTTACATCGTATGAGTAACTTACATTCCGGTTTTTTCATTAACCAGAACACGTCCACTGTTAAACAAAGGTTTTCAAGGGTTGGCCTTGATCCCCACGGTTGGCAGGCGAATGAAGGATTGCAATTAGGTCACCGAATATGCCAATAATGTTTTATTCGGTGGCAGGACACATTGCAAGGGAGTACATGTATCCCTGTGCGGTCATAAGGAAATTGAAGAAAGTTATATTGAAAGGTAACCTGAGACTTTGGAGGTATATAATGTGGCAATATTATTATTATTACGTGAACCCATTGTTTCTTAAATGTAGCGCTGGAATACGGAAAATCAAAACGTTGCATTGGCTTATTTTGGGCTCGCTGGTATCGTTGTTGTATCCCCTCTTTGAGGAGTGGCTTGAGAGACGCTGCTGCGTCCTCATCTACCGCCTGACGCTGGTACTTACCGGCCACGGAAGTTTCGGGAGGTACTTGTTTCGTGTTTTGTGGGAGGATACGCCCGAATGTCCTCATGCTATCCCTCGGTGGAGCACCCATGGATGCTCAGGGAAGTGATCGGTTTGCTAGATCCTAACCAATAAATAAACGGGGTAAGCTAAACAAAACCGTTTCATAATAGTAATAAAACCATCGTTTAAAATGAATAAAGTGTAGATACGTTCCAAGTATAAAAAAATAACAAAATATACTTTTCACGGGCAAGTGGACCGATTTCAAGCGTATCAGATTTGCCACGATAAATCCGGATTCCGTTAAAAAATGGCTACCAGAACCCTTTTCCGGGGAGTTGCGCTTGTGTAAAAAATGTATCATAGCTGTATCGAAACTCTTTGGATTCTGGCCACAATATGTGTGGTGACATGCGTCGGATGCATGTCGGATGTCATACTTCTTTTTTCCATAGTTTGTTGTTACACGTTTTGATGATGACGTAATCTTTGTAAAATTACTAAATTGCATAATGTTTAACGTGTCCCAAAGCCGTTTCTTTGGATCCTGACCAACCACGTCTACAGTATCTATTACGTCATCCGATAGATGTCGCTACCTGCTGTTCTCAGGTAAACTAGGTGAATATAATATACAACCCTTCCCTGACTCTTGGCATGGCTGATTTTACCGCTCGAAATGAAATGTGTTTGTGTGTACTTCTTTTAAGGTGAAACAGCGCTACGCATTACAAGCACCAGCATTATCTTATAACTTACGCGTAGAATTCTAACGATAGGTTTATGGATTAAAATAATGCAAATCACTATGCGTACTATTCTTAAAATAAAGTGCTTTAGGCGTGAGTCGGTAAACAACTTATCTGATTTTTTTATTGTTTTCGTGAAGAACATTTTTGGGTATTTAACCATGTATGGGCTGCCGATTGAGGCGAATTTCTCCTCCTGATTTTGGACAATTGTACAACTCAATCACTGTTAGCTTATTTTAAAATTGTTTTGGAATAAATGTTGTTTGTTCGCAGCGTTCGGCGTGTGCGCGCGCGCCCTGCATGCCTTGATGGGCAGCACCGGGAGCGCAGGAGGCGGGCGCGCGTCTCGCGTCCTGCGCCTCCTACTACTCTTCGTGCTGGCTCTTGCAGCAGTAGAGTATCTCTTCGGGTCCATACTGGACGCCTCCCCGCTCAGAACCTACTTGTACGTACTTTTTCTCTTATATAACTTCGTAAACTAAGTCTGTGTCCATTATTCTAAATACCTTATCTTTTTTAGTCTGACCCCACTTGAGACTATATTCTTATTCTCTTCTTAATTTCTTTTCCAGTACTGGTTATATCATCGTAGACACTTCTAGAATAGGAGTATTTTCATTGTAGACATACGAGTTTGAGAATTAGTTTAGTTCCAATTCACGGCTCTTAGAAAGTGTTATTGATTGGGCTTTTCATCCTAGACTCCCTGATTTATGGCAAAAGTTCTATCCCTATAGTCTCATAACTCACCTTATCCAAGGGGTTTGGCAGACAGCGTCAGAATAATCTCAATTTAATTCCAGAAACTCCGACAAAACACAACTGTTAACTAGTAATCGTGGAGCAACGTTGAATGTGATAAAACCTCCTTCGGTTAATACAACAAATGCAGTACCAGTGACCAAGAAACAAAATATGGCAGTAACACATTACAACCAAACTATGGCAACCAAAGTGATATCTGAGCCACCACAGGTGTCACAGACCTCCATCCTTCTAACGAGGTTGATGGAGACTCTTAACAATGAAACCACAGATATGACAAGTAGCAATAAAAATGATTCGAGTAGTCTACCTCTTTGTGAACTTCCTGCTGACTTGGGTAAGCTTAATATTTTTTTTAAACTTGATAGGTCGACGTTTGGCCCCATCTAGCCTAATGGTAAGCGATGATGTGGCCGACAATCGAGCACGCCTACCTATGAGCAACCCGTTCACTCGGGACTTGATGACACCCAAGTTATATTTGTCGGGAAACACAGATTGCGGCAAAGAGTTCCATTCCTTATCGGTTCGCACAAGGAAGCTTGTAATAAAAGCGAATGGAGTTTCTTGCTCGTTCTTCTCCATTTGAATCTACATTTTGAAACGAGCACCTAGCTTCACCTAACTTCACTGGCGGACTGACTGACTGACAGACTATTATTTATATTGTATTTGTTGACGTTTCAAAAGTACCAAATTATGGTTTAATTGAAATCAATGCTTTGACTTTAAACATTTAACAACAATAATAAATATTTTTTAAATAAAGAGTTAAATAAGGCTCAGTTATTAACAGGCTGTCGCCCGAATACTGAAGGGCTACTCAATTTTTTAAGGTAAATATTGTTCCATCTCTGTGATTTTACAAGGAATTTTTAATGACAGAACTATAATGTAACAGCGCCTTACAATTGCGTGGCGTTGGCGACACGTATCTCATAAACCGTGATATTTAAAAGACAAATTGATATTTTTATGATTATAATAAATAATAATAAAATAAAAAGCCTTTTATTTCTTGCAAAATTACTTAACATGAAAAAAGACATAACAACAAAAGAAACATGAAAAATTAAAAATGATTAAATAATTGTTCCTTATGTAAAATTATTTATGTTCCATATTAATAATTATAAAAGTTATGAGAATCATCATTAAATGAATTCAATTACTGATTTAAAATTACTTTTATATCAATTTAATTACACATTTAATATTTAAAATAATTATAATAAATTCAATTTTATGTACATTTATAATATTATATGTACATTTTATGATTATACGCCAACGTTATAAATTCGAATCTGAGAGGAGTCTGGACATGTGCCTGGTATATGGCAATTGGCTCACCCCCTATTACATAGGACTCATAACATAAAATAGTGAAAAGTGCGTGTTACAGTCTACAGTTGCATTAAGTGCCGTAATGTGCACCTCTGCCTATCCCTTCGGTGATAAAAGGCGTGAAATTATGTTATGTATGATACATTTGAAACTATCTACATATATATGTTCCAAATGTAACAGGTTAAGGTAGGATAGAAACTAGAGAGATAAAAATCACTTTGACTACGTCCGTCAAAATAAAATTAACTAAATATCAATAAATTATTTTTCAGGTCCCATAAAAGCTAATAAAACTGATATGGATTTAGCGACGATAGAAAAGAAGTTTCCAGAAGTACAGTTCGGTGGCAGATATAGTCCCCCCAACTGCACCGCAAGACATAAAGTCGCTATCATTGTGCCATTCAGGTAAATGTTGTTATAATTACAAATAACACTCAATAGATGGCGCTGTATATAAATGATACCGGAATTTACCGCCAAAGGCGCTAGTGGAGTCTTAACTATGTGCCTGATTATTGTCACCATTTATTTTAAGTCATTTTCAGTTATCGAGATAGTTTAGATTAAATAATTAAAATAAAAACCAAGTCTTGTTTTCTATAATTCAAATTGTTAATTTGTTTTTTACAGAGATCGACAGCAACATTTAGCTGTATTTGTAAACCACATGCATCCCTTCTTGATGAAGCAACAAATTGAATATGGAATATTCATCGTTGAACAAGAAGGTACATCATTTTGATTACCTATATGATTTTAATGAATACCAGCTGCATGAGTATAAAGGAAGCTGAAGAATGTATGTGAAAGTTGTAGTAGGTTGGTGCCGTGTAGTTTTGTTTAGATACTCCTAGGCAAAGGTGTGAGCTTTGTATTAATCTTAAAGCTTGACAGGCGGATAGGAGACCGAAATTTTAAAGGTTTAGGTTTATCAAAGACAGCTACATAAGCTGTCAAATATGTGGTATTTTCGTTAGCTCTTACGGCACCCACGGTTAGGGAAGGTGTAGTGACTTGCCATCACCACACGGTAGTATCCCATATATCCCCTTAGTATTCCCTAATTTATTAAAACAATGCAATCGTCTACCTTGAATATAGACCCGTTGTTGAGGAGAGTGACAGCTCATGTAAACTACGCTGCAACCAAGTGGTATTCCTTTCTGTCGAATCGACGGAGAAAACGTAAGTTGTTCTCCATTAAAACACACATCTTGCGTTTAGTTTCGTAGTTGAATGAAAGGATTTTAGATTATTTAGACTTACGCTCGAATACTGAAAGGCTACTCAATTATAATTGTACTCAAATATCGTGCCGTCTCTGTCATTTTACAATGAATTTATAGAGACAGGACTATATTTAAGCGCGACTTAAATTTGAGGGCGTTTGAGTATTTCGACATTAGTCATATGTGGTAAATGAGAGTATTTGTGTTTAAATGAGAGTATTTGAGTTTTGTGTTAGCTCGTAGTATTGTAAAGAGGGTAAATAGTTTTTGTGGATAAACTGTGGCATTATCTGCCATTTTTTAAGCGAAAAATATTTACATGTTTGTAGTTACAGTCCGGAGTGTTAAAAACTTATAGATATTCATTTCTATGCCTTTAGCAAAACGCTACTTTAGTGTTTGTCTACAGAGAGAGTAAAAAACTAAATGTATGGGGGACGTATATAATTCCATATAATTTGATTTTCTATTCTACATGTCGACAAGCGCTAAATGGCATTTGGCTACAGCAGCAGTATTGATAGATTTGTCGCAGTAATACTTTTTAAAGTGATTGTAGTAAAAAATGTAGCGAGGTGTGACGTCGTATTCAAATTAAAAAATAATTGTAAATGTGTAGTTTCTTAAAAATCTAGGTATTTGTTGTATCCATTGTTTAATGTAATTCGTTTATATAAGAATTATTGTTGGTTTGTACTAAAACCGACAACAATTCCCTTTCTTTTTGAAGTCGGTTAAAAAAATGCTTTGTAATTAAAGCAACCACTGTGTTCGACCCAAACAAGCGATGTTTGATCCATCCTCAACATGTCATGACAGTCCACTGGAAGAAGAAGACTATGAAGTTTTTATTTTTAGCCTTTTTCCAGTGAAACTAAAGAAGAGTTAAAATATTAAAATTCTAAAGTAAAAACTAAAATCACTACAAAATGTTTCCAGGTGAGAAACCATTCAACCGTGCCAAGCTGATGAACGTGGGGTACAAGGAGAGTCAGAGACTGGAGCCAAACTTCACTTGTTTCATCTTCCACGACATCGACCTGCTGCCCACTGACACTCGGAACGTCTACTCCTGCACGACACAGCCGCGCCATCTCTCGGCAGCTGTTGACGTTTTTAGATATAAGTAAGCATGCCTTTTTAAATAAGTGTGAACTCTATTTCAAATTAAGTAGGGTTGATTTTAAACTAAAATACATGAACCTCTTCCTCTGTACGACACAACTGCCATCTACCGGCAACTGTCGATGTTTTTAAATATTAAATGAATGTCAACTCTGTTTCTAATACAGTAAGATTGATTTTGGAATAACAAAAAAAATAGATATTATTATTACTATTTATTTTATTACGCCTTAGCTTAAAACGCTGTTGTTTAAACCTCTGGCATCGCAAGTTGAAATTTGAACTTTACGTTCTCGAAAATAAACGCCATTTTTCCTTTTCCAGGTTACCATACAAGACCTTGTTCGGTGGTGTGTCAGCAATGACCAATGAGCAGCTGCGCAAAGTGAACGGCTACTCAAATAAGTACTGGGGGTGGGGGGGCGAGGATGACGATATGGCGGATAGGTAACCAGTTTGTTCATTCAATGCCTACCATGCCGAAATATAACCAACTAGCGGCCCGTCCCGGCTTCGCACGGGGGGACTTAAGATTTTTTACATAGTTTTACGTTTTATTTATATTTATTCTCAGTTTTTTTATTTAGGAAGTATTTACCTTTTGAAAATATTTTTCCGGACTTCATTTACTTATTTCAGTTATTTATGAACAATTCATCTATAGAGCATTTTTGTATAACTTTAACCATATGCTCAGCGCACGCCACGGAAGGCCTCAGAAACGATACTTTTCCCCCGTTTTTAAAACATTTTTGGTTACTGCTCCACAACTATAGGACCTAGCGTGATATTATATAGCCTATGTTACTTCTGAATAATGCAGCTTTCTAATGGTGAAAAAATTATTGCAATCGGTCCAGTAGTTTTTGAGTTTATTCATTACAAACATACAAAAATACAAATATTTCCTCTTTATAATATTAGTATAGATTAGTATAGATATTAATCTAAAACTGGATAGATTTACGTTTTAGATTAAAACCTAATAGAAATAATTTCAAAATTATATATTATGTATGTGAACAGTGGGCAGCAAGCCAACTTACACTTTTCTGTCAAATTTCTTTCTACGATTTTCAACTGTATCGATTATATATAAAGTTAAAAATCCAATGATAAAAATTGACACATTGAAGTAGGTTAGTGTACTGGCCACTGTACCTGAAACTCTTTTGATAGACTAACAACAGCTTCGACCTTCTTTACATACGATTTATTTATTTATTTTAAAACAGTCACAACGGTAGAAAACCCAAATACAATAACTGATATCGTATCGGAAGCGTATCCTAACGACGGTTCATAGTAAGCGTATTGTCACGCCGTTGTATCATAAGCGTACTCATCATCTACAGCTGAAAGACGTCCACTGCTGGACAAAGCCTCCCCCTTAGCCCTCCACGTCGAACGACAACTCGCCACCTGCATCCACTGGCTCCCCGCAACTCTGGCGATGTCGTCGGTCCACCTTGCGTGAGGCCTGCCCATGCTTTGTCTCATACTGCTAAATCTTAATTTCGCCATTTTGTTGTTTCAGGTTAAAAATAAATAATTACCACATAGCAAGGTATCCGATGTCTATAGCGCGGTACGAGATGCTAACTCACAAGAAACAACGACCTAATCCTAAAAGGTAAATTCAAAATTTTATCATTTTATTCAGTGGAGAAGTAATGTGCCTGTATTTTTTTAAATATCAATGTTTGTTTATATTAAGACATTCTTGGGATATACTAAATTAATTATTATGTTTACGGCTTAATACCGTAACAGTTTTACGAAGAACTCGACTAGTTTCAAGCCATGCTAGAGGCTTATATTCATGAGCAGCATTAAGCGACCCGTTAAACTAGTCGAGTTCTTCGTCAAACAGTTACGTGAGTAAGCTAAAAACATAATAATTAATATCAATGTTTGTTTTCAACATTCCAGGTACCAGCTACTGTCGCAAAGTAAATCGTTCGTCAAAGACGGCCTGTCTAACCTCGACTACAAAGTGAAACAAATCATAAACTATCATCTCTATACTCATATATTAGCCAATATAGACGAGCATAGCTGATGGACATATTTCGCCAAGCTATTGTTTGGCGATGATCGGTAACATACGCTCAGTGCACTGACACTACGACAATGACAGGTATCTAGTGTTGCCTGACAAAAAATACCTTTCTACGGTAGAAAACGAAACTTGGAAACTACCAAATTCGTGAAAACTCAAAAGGACTGTTATGAAACGTCTTGTCACTTAAGTCAATTGTGATTGTGCGACAATTATGATTACGATGTTATGTAATATTATATATATGAAATGATATATAAGTAATTGTAAGTAGATAACGACTGTTGTTTCTAAATTTTCTAATCATTCCATGTTTTTCTACGTTATAACTTTACTAATAAGTTACTCAATCTAATAAATGGCAACACTAGGAATTTGTCTGCTGTTTATAAAAATAGATGCTTAAGAAAAAATAGGCGTTTGTATTAATTTAGAATGTAAATTTTAAGTTACAATTTGAGATATTTTTTTACTTTCGTTGGACTAAAATCATCCAAATCTATTCTAAGGAAATGTATGTATGTGTTATACGTGTTAATTATTTTATTTGTAACTTATTAGGTACACGATATCTATATAAATCTTTTATACCATTAAATTGTGATCTTATTTTGTGCTTTTTTTAAAGTTTGACAAATGGCTGAGCAAAAATAAAATATTTAAGACTAATTCGATTGGTTACAAAGGAAAATTTTATGTAAAAATTGTATATATGAAGAATATAGTGTAGATACGAGAGGAGGGCATTTTATTATATGAAGTACAGAGTGACAATATAGTACATAAAACGATTCTACTTAGAATTATGATTACGCTCAGAGCGTAGGAAGTACATTTACTACTGAATATTTACATGTTAACTAAAATATATACTTAATATATAATTCATCACAGCATCTGGTAGAAAAAATATAAATTCTAAATATTCATAGACAGATAGATATACAGCGTGTTTTGTTACTAGAGTATAATATTGTAAGGGGATTGCAGTACAATAGGTAATTTTTAATTTGTTTTTGATGACAACACTGATAGGCTGATTGAACAATATTTACATGGCAATAACAAAAAAAAACTAAGCGTGATTATTTTTGGGTATTGTTTATCTACCCATTTAATGTAGGCACTTGGCAGTCGCTGGTGATCACATGACTATTAAGGTAATTAAAATAAAAAAGTACTTAACCCTTATTATATGCTCTATTTCAATGGAATATAATTCAATTCAGTATCAAAATAAAAACCGATCAGTACCAGGGATTTTCTTCTTTCTCTTTCTATCTTATATCAAATTTTTCCCAAACGATTTTTCTTACGCCATCTACCTCTACAATTTTATACTCTAGTAACTAATCACACTGTATAAAGTTTGGCGCTTTCACGGCCTAATTATTCAATTTTAGCGGCACCTTATTTAAAATTTATTTATTTCTATTTGAATTAATTTACCTAACCTACTAAGCAAATAACAAAAACAATATTGTTTCCAATACTCTAGTACTAGAACCGCTCTGACGCCCTAAAAGGATGTATTCGGAGCAAATGAATTTCCTTGAGAGAGAAAAATAATCAAAAAAATAATGCAACTATATATATATAATGCAATAATAGATAACTTTATTTCGTGATAAATTAAATTAATATTTTTATTTATGTGTTTTAATAATATTATTTAATAATTACATTATTATAATAAAAAAAATATTTACCGATTAAATTTAACATAGGTAGTCATTTTATCAGGAAACAAAGGCCTAAATGGAAATAGTAATACAAAATGTTCACTTATGGTGCTCCTAAGCAGTTTCGGAATATTAAAATCGACTGTACTACGAAGCCTAAGTCAGTCCAAACTTAATAATAAATAAATAAAACTGACAACAAGTAAAATTTATTAGCTGTGTCTGCAAACAAAAAAAAAACAAATAAAATCTCATTTGTCTATTTTTACAACAAAGAACGTTTTTCTTACTTAATGGCAACCAGAAAAAAATATATATGACAGGTATGACAGATGACACAATATGTCCTTTCAAGCATAAAACTTGCTTTTGTCAACATAACCTAAATATTCTACACTGGCGCCATTTTTATTACACCTGTTATACTCACACGTATTACAAATTCTTTGAATTCAAAATATTTATAATATACGTAAATGTTATTCCTGTGGATAGACACCAGTAAATAAAAGATTCGCTGCTAATTCCAGAAAGAGATATTCATAAAAATGTTTTATTTTGTTACGAATCGTATATTGTTGATTGATAAAGGATTCTATTAATACAGTTCATAAAAATGCCATTTGCATTTCCAGAAAATAATATTTTTATTAGTCAGGCTACCATAAATTGGTATTTGATTAGTGCTGTATAAGAATATCGCTGTCCTTATCACTCACTAAAGTTCGAACTTACCTCTCACTCATTTAGTCGCATGATAAAGAGGCCAAGACTCATTGAACTAACTATGTAATACTGTATTAGTTGGTTCGTGTATTAAATAAATGCTGTACCAATATTCCATACGACGTAAAATGTTTTATACTAAATCAATGTACTTATTAATTAAATAAATGAAATTGTAAATAGCTTTTGTAGTTAGATAGACAAACTTATTTAGTAAAATACAATTTAATATAGAAATTATATCCTTACTGTTCAAAGCTTTATGTTTAAATAATTGTAAGGGTTAGTTTAGACGACGGCGCAATGCGGTGTAAACAAGCCCTAATGTATACCTACGTAAGTTACTTTTAAACAGTCTTCATACCAATTTCTTTAAGTATAGAGTTTATTTTTGTGTATTTTTCCATATTGTAAGGTTTTTATGACTGTTCTTATGAAGTTGAAGATTGCTTTATTTATTCAAGATAAATCAATATCAGTTAATACTAATGTGCCAATGTAAAGCCCGCGCATATTGACCATAGAGAAAACTTTAATCTGTAATGGTAAAAAACTACGCGAGGATGAATAATAATAAATAATCGACCAGATAATAGCCCTAACTTAAGGTTGAATATTGCTTGCGCTTATTTCAGTTGGCAGTATGTCTACGTAAAAATAATTATGTTCTTGAATTTTTATGTTAAGCTTTTTTATTGTATTAATACAATTCTGGATCTGAGATCTACCATTGTCGTGAAGTGAATTCCTTTGTTATATTAATTTAAACCTTATTCACTTAATTTTAAGGGATACAATGTGATACATCTGTTTATGACCGAAAGATGCACGCCATTGCTCAGATCTGATAAAAATAACATTTATAATAATTGTAGGCAAATACATTTGCAGTTCTTTCAACCGATTATGATTCTTATAGCTGTCGTAAAAAAGTTATTTTAACAGCACCACCTTTTTGGTATTGCTATTACAATATTTGCATGTAATAATCATTTATAAGTTTTTTTTATGGCATGAGCCGGTAAATGAGCAGACGCATCACCTGATGGTAAGCAATCGGCGCCGCGGACACTTGGAATGTCAGTTACAAGTGTGTTACCGTCCTTTTGGAGATTTTGGGGATTAGAAGTTTAAGGATTGTTGGGGATTCATGGCTTGGAGAGAATGGGGAAGTGGGGGGAGGGGGGTAATTGGGCCTCCGGTAACCCCATTCACATGACGAAATACAACGCAAGCGTTTTTTCACGTCTGTTTTCTGCGAGGCCGTGGTATCACTCTGGTCAAGCCGGCCCATTCGTGCTAAAGCATGGCTCTCCCACACTTCTAGTACAGTAGTTCAGATAAATAGAACACATTATTGTTTGAATTGAATACTGAGAAGTTTGTATGTGGAACTATTTATTTTTATGAAATCTAGTTACTGGGCAATGGTGTGTACTTTGTTAGGCCTAATAGCTATATTAGATTGAGCTAGAAACTTGGAATGGAATGGACAACGTAATTGTAAACCCCACAACGTCAATTTCTTTTTCAAGCAGTAATTTCTATATTTCAATTATTATTTAACAAAATGGGTCAATGCTGTCCTTTTCACTCAGTAATAAGCGTAGTAAATTTTTAGTTTTTTATTTTATTTTTATAAGTCTATTCAATGTTTTAACTAGTTGAAGCCTAGCCTACAAACTTTGAAGTGTAAGTAATGCTCAAAATTATTGTCAACTCTATGCGACCTTGCTAATGTTGCCATATTAAAATTACTCCTAGTCATGGGTACGAATTTAAGAAAAAATCTACCTATAAATATATTATTGTCACACCATTTTGAAGTTTGTAGGATATCTAAAGTCTTCTATAAAATGAACTATTCGATTAATTTTATATTTACGTATTTTTATAATGATATTAATCCTTATTTCTGTAATTAATTTTAGCCAAATACCTAAATATAGTAATAACCAAATGTATTTATTATTTTAAACGTTGCTTTCCATTAGTGCATAGCTATTTACTTGTGTACTTGTACTAATGTATGATAATAAATGAATTATAATAAAACCAAGTTGCCTATGTAAGTGGCAAAAAATGGTACTATTTGAAATCGGTACAAAATGACAATATTTAAACTGTATTACGAAGAAACTAGCGACGTTGTCAGCTGCATAGTTAACTTGGTTTTTGGTACTGTAGTAAAGGATTTGTACCTGTTTTTACTGAAGGTATATGCGAAAAATTTAATGGCCTATTCGACATCACAATATTAGGTAATTATTTGAAATAACTATATATCTAAATTACTGATTACGAATTCCTGTACTCGCGATTATAAATACAATGGGGCCTGTTTTTGCTCACCAAATGGTACCAGTGTGAACGTCTCGTTCTTCGTCCAATAGTGAATTAGTTAGTGTCATATTGTTGGACGTTCAATATTTGACAGCTCCTGTAATTGGATAAAAAATACCTTCTTACATTTGCGCCGTCTGGTGAGGAAAAAAATGTTAGCCCCATTGCATAGTTTTAGTGTTACCCCGCTTAGACGAATTCTTTATAAATAAACCTATACCCTATATTAGAACTATAGCTTAGACCATGAGTTACTTAAAGAAAAGTGATATAAATAATAGTTTTCATTTCAGAAAAATGTTTTAAGTAAATAAAATGGTTTGTTTTTATTTAATTTCTCGTTTTATTTTTAACTACAGCATTAAGAGATTTTGTTGCATTTCTCAAATATTTTTGTATAAGTGTTTTTTGAAGTGGTCCTATCCTCCCGTCCTATGTGAAGTAGGAGAGCGGAGAGGAGTGACAGCCTCTTACAGGTTAAAAGCTACCCCAGTTCAACTCCTGCTTGGAGCCGGGTCCGTAGGTATGTGTAGACGACCTTGCTCTCAACCCCGGTTCCCGAGTGACTTGAAAGTAGGTCCTCAATTTGGTACCTACATAGAAAGGAAGGATAATATAAATAATACAAAATAGAGTTTTAAGTCAATGTAATACCATCGCAAAACATTGAAGTTTAGGCACTGTCACACGAAAAAAAAATAAGAGCACGCTACTCAGAATCACATTGGCCAAAATGAAAAAAAAAGTACACAAATCACAGTTGGTTTAAACTTTAAAAATAACGCTGTATAATTTTACACTTAACATTTTTACAATTTAAAATGGCCGCATGACGTCTTGGGAGCGAACGGCTGGAATTTTAAATACAAAGATAGGTCTATTGCTGAGTTGGAGTGAGGCTCGGAGGCCGGCAGCCAGTTGTCGCGGCAAGCCCATTAATGGCGGGCTTTCGCGCCATGATGTGCGTCGCAAATACCAAGATGGCGCCGGCGTGCAAGCTAGTGTCAAATCCAGCCAACTTCTTTCCGCTTCAAACTTAGTTCTAAATCATTAGAATTATATTGTATTAGATACCTACTTCTAATGTGTCATCTATCTTTAGGTTTTTTTTAAGGGAGGAAAATCATCGAAAACTGCTCCCGCCTGGGTGAGGCGGAAGGGAGTGTCTGACTCTTACTGACTAAAAACCACCCTGTTCCTTCTCCTGCACGTCGAGTCGGAGCCCCAGTTACCCATTAAACTGTCAAACACCAAGCGGTCACCGGTGACCGCAACCTATTGTTCTATAATTGTGTCTACAAAACTGGTACTCGACGAGTTAATACCTGTATAACATTTACAGATACCCCTAGTACTTTACAAAAAAACTTCAATAGGTAATTTACCTACTGTTTATTTGTTTCTGACTAAATTCTACCTAATATTCTGTTCCTACAGAGTAATATATTACTAATATTAGAAACTATTTAATATTCTGTAGTGTAAGGATGCACTTATCTATAATATAATAGATATTTATGTAATGAAATAAAATTAGTGATTAGCACTTGACTAGGTGCACCTCTAATAACAGACGTAGGTCTGGATTACATAAGATAACTTAAGGTGTCCAATAACTTCCTATTTAATACAGGAAACAGAATACATAGGCCAAACCTAAACACACCAAGTGTGTCACAGTTTTATAGTTTATTCAAAGCACTCACTTCTCTAGTTCTCTCTCCTTTTCTTTGTCCTTGCTACGTTTCGGTTTTCGAGTGGGCGTCGTCGCTCTAAACCTATAGTATTTCGGCATCTTTCAATATAAATTTTGCAAAAAATGTTACGCGAACATACATACACAATGATCCCAAAATGACATTACAAATCTGACATACCAAGTTAGTGGCTTTTTTATTGGTTTACCTCTGGCCAGGATGAATGAAAACCTTTTTGCAATTATTTTTTTCTGTGCCAACCTACTCAAAATGAGAGTATTGAAAAAAAATTTAATGTCACACCTACAGTTATGGCGTAGGAGTTTTGTTTTTATATATTTTTTGAAATATCTTTTTACATATACATATTTTACATATCTTTTTAGATATTTTACGTTACAAGCCTAGTGAAAAATATGGCTAGCTTTTCACTCCGTCTACTGACTATATTCTTAATCGCTGCACTCGTGCTGAACATTTCCAATTATTATTTTATAAAAAGGTATAACCCTCGCCCGGATTTATTCCGATATGTCTACACCAAGTTGCCAAAGAATGCTAGGTATGTACGTACGTACGTACGTTTATCTTTATTTTTATTAATTTATGGTTTAACAAATTTTCATTTATTTGGTCATTCAGATTTTTCATGATTCCTTTTTTTGAGGGGAGAAAGTCATCTAATGACTTCTCCCACTCTGGGTGAGATGGGAGCGGGAGTTTCAGACTCTTAAATGAGTAAAAACCACCCCATTCCTACTCCTGCTTCGAGCAGGAGCCCCGGCAACAGCTCCACTGGGCCCCATTTGTGGTGGTCTGATGGCTATTTAAGGCGCGCACAGAATACGACGCGCCGTACCGTGGTTTACGGGAATAAAAAGTACATAGTAGAAACACATAGGTACTTATTGCGAATCTACATGTTGCACAATATTGGGTTGGCTTTACCTGTCTGTTACCCCATTTCCTGGGTTGTCTAACTTATCATCAAGTGCTTACCCAAATTTTCTTATACTCTTACAGTGGAATTTTAGTCCGTCGTTCCATCAATGTAAGTCGCTGGGCCCCGCAATTGGAATGCGATGATACGGCTTCCTCTTCAAAAACGAAAAATCCCAAAGTTTATGACACAGAAAATTCAGATGCGAGCCCGAGTGCAGCCCCGAGCTCTGTTTATTCTATGACGTTCGAAAAAACTTTGCAAACCGCTTCTGAAGCAGTTATGCAGAACTGTCCTGAAATGCCTCCTGATCTTGGTGAGGATTCTCAAATATTACCCGCATTACATTATAATATCATTAGTTACTTAACCTCACCTATAACTTCATCTATCACCCTATCTTCATATTCGACGAGTTTTTATGGTTGTGAAAGACAGGCCGCCGTTTCACGCAATAAAATACTGACATCCAGCCACTCTGTTCCAACCCCAAAAATAATTAAGAACGGGCCAAAAGAAATGGTGCTACAATCCCCACGCTTGGCGGATGGTTAGGGAATCGCTGTTGCGGCAGCCCGCACTTGTGTGGCTGGTACAGTGTAGCCACCACATGACAGAAATATTAAAAACAGCACATCTATGGTAGCCACACTAGCCTCTTCTTATTCTGTAAGATGAGGCAAAATGTTCAGAACGTTGCAATTATAATAATATATGCCTTTTTTAATTTAACAACTAGGTATTATCAATCCCCAGGTCCTGAACTAGGTCGATCGCTTGATGTTAAACGCTTTATTGAAGACATAATTAATGATGTGCGACCAGGCGGTATCTATCAGCCGGAAAACTGCAAGTCTTTGCAAAGTGTGGCTGTGATTATACCTTACAGGTAAAGGCAGTTCTCTTAGACACCTGTTGATGAAGTTTGAACAAACAAAGTCACTATCCGTTGTCTGTCTGTCCCTATGTAGGTATGTTTTGATGCGGTTTTTTTAATAAACGGAGTAATTCTTAAGGAAGGTTTATATGTGTAATATCTACATGCATATTGCACCCGTGCGAAGCCGGGGCGGGTCGCTAGTTTTTAATAAATTTTAACTAGGTACGTAACCGGTAGCGACTTAATTTATTCGCTGCTTCATTAAAGCACAAATTGACGTTTGAACCGAAACCGTCACCGTAATTCTGTCGTCAATTTGGTGGTCCAGTGGTATCCATTGAAAATGTGCGATGGACCGCTGTACGCACTATCGAATATGGTCCGAAGCGGACAAAATTGACGGTTCGGTTCGATCGTCTATTCGTGCCTTTATAAGGGCTCACCGTAACATATTATGTAGGTATCTACATCGGCAATACCAGAGGCATTAAAGTAAAGGTGCGATTTTCTGCCTTTGTGGATATGGTTGAAAGTAATTTTCGATCAGACTGATATTTATTTTTGCTTTTTAACAGAGGCTGCAAAGGTTACCTCAATGTATTTATGAATGCTTTACATTCGTTTCTAATAAAACAACAACTGGATTACCGAATATTTGTGGTTGAACAAAGTGAGTAGACTTTTCTTTATCTTTTTTTTTAGTTATTACAAGATCTACCTACATAACATAACATCACGCCTTTTATCTCCAAAAGGGTAGACAGAGGTACGGTGCGTGCTACCGTAAGACTACTATCGGTTGCGCAGGTTGCGCTGCAGCGCTTATATACACACATGCACACGCACATTTTTATCCGTGTGCGTACTGTTACGAGAGTCCTTTAGGATTTCTTTTAAAAAAAAACTATTTTTATATTAAAACTATTTTAATTAGTTAAAGGACTGAGTATACAACCGTACCGTTCGGAGATCTTGTCCAGACTGAGGGGTCTGGCATGCCACCTTACACGCTAAGATATAATAATGATGACGATGTAGTTTTATGTCATCCCAGCATAAACCCTTACATATCAGGGATATAACACCTCCCCCTTTAAGAAGAGGCTTTGGGGTTGGTTCAAAGTCTCTGTTATATTATTACCCTAAGTGGAGCAATATTACTTGTATTAGGTGTACTATCTTCGAAACCTGTTTGTCTATCTGTCATTTCTATTGAAGGTTCAGGCTGAGATGATGTTATACAAATATTTGCTCTATTCCTACGGGAACGGTTATATCGTTGACAAATTTTCTTATAAACTAGGTAATTAAGAAATATAAGTATAAAGATTACAATTGCCAGTGTTACAATAGAATAGTGTTTACCATATGTTACAATATGAGGGGTTGTTGGATTTGTTACAAATTCAAGGTCATTTAAAATAGACTTTATCTTATCATTATAATTGGTATGTAAATCATCTAGGTCTATGTTATTTAGTTTTACAGGGAGTATATTACTGGCATTTTCATATACTGTTTTTATGGAACAACAAGAGTCTTCAATTAAGTTAAAATCTGGAAAATGTCTGATTGGTGAAGTTATATTAAAATTGTTTTGTTTAGGTATAAGTGTGGTAGCTTTACAGTGGACAATGCAATTTTTGGGGATACTTAATATCCCTGTACCTGAAATGGTGGTTTCTTTTAATTTGTTATTTAAACAGTCTATCGATATTTTGTTAGGTTTTGACTGTACAAAGATCCATTTATTATTGATCAGGGATTTCCAGATATTTACTTTTCCAATGAGGGTCTTCGTATGACATTGAGCAGGTTTCACGCTAATTACCTTGGTAAGGAGTTCACTTTCACATGTAGGTTTTGCATCAGTAGAATACACATTTTCAATATCACAGATATAATTTCCAGAAGTCACTATTTTACAAATTTCCAAACTATTGAAAACACAATAGTAGGATTTGTCTTTGGTCATTGCTATGTATTTGTTATCAGGGAGAATTAAACTGAAAGTGTTTGGGTTTGAAGTATTGTGTGGTGTTGGTAATGCAATATTATGAAATAGCAGATATTCTTGAGTTTTTACCATTGGCACTTGCAATATAAATACTACCTTATTACTAGTATAGAAACAAACTAACTTAGAAATACTTAAGATAACATGTATGGACTTAATATCTAAAGATACAGGCAACTCAAGGTCACTGGGTAAATGTCTATAGTTATCTACTAGTTCCTTGTGGAGTTGTGTAGGGGTTACTATTGCAGGGTGTAAAATATTTTGGGTGCTAAATAGGATAGCGTTAGTGATATCTTCTAGTTGAAAAGATAGAGTAAGTATCGATGTCTCGAGCGCATTGATAACTTCATTGACATTTGTTTGTATTTGTAAACCATTTGTGGTTTCAGTAATGTTTCTAACACTCACTGAAAGTCTATCAATGGCTTCTTTTGAGTTTGCCTCGTTCTCTATTATTTTACTTAATGTAACGTTATACTGAGTTAAAACAGAAGTGGTTATTAAGATATTCTCTTTTAATAATGAAGCTAATTTCTTTTCATTGAGTTGTAATGTTTTGATAGTTTCGTCATATTGTAGGCCATCGTTTTCATCTAGGGTGCCGAATATTTTCTTTAAGATTGTTCCTGCACCACTAATCCAGGCGGAACGTTTTGTCCTGTTATCAATTAAATGTGAGATTGATGTTAATTCCTTACTCATATCTTGGAAACGGGCCGACAATGGTTTTAAATTATTATAACAAATGGAGATAATCTCTATAATTCTGGTTTGTTTACATAAATTTCCAGTAACTAAAAGCGCTGATTTGATATTATCAATATGTGGTTTGAAATGAGATATGTCTACAGGTATTACTATACTAAGTTGAATATTGTTTATTCGTAGCTTTCCTAAATAATCGAAGTAGAGTCCGGAACTAGAGTTGATTGGCTCGATGAAACTCTGGTTAGGTTGACTCTGAGCTGAACTGTAAAGATAACCTAAGGTAAGTCTAGAGTAATTTTAAGATTATGTGTTTATTTCCTAAATTACGGAGCTGCTTCTGCCAGCTTCACTTGGTCATAATGATGTATGACGTGACGTCGGTTGATGAGTAAGGTAAGTGTGTTGTTTCCGTTGATTCTAATTACCTTGTAAGGCCCTTTCCACTGTGGTGAAAGTGCCTTGCGCATTCGCAGGTGATTCTTCAGGTACACGTAATCACCGACTTTGTATTTCGCAGGGCGAGTGCGAGTGTCATAGTAATTTTTGGAAGATTCTTTGGATCTCCTTATGGAGTCCAAGGCTTTGTCTCTACAATACTTTAATC